AATTTAGAATGCAATTTTAATTTTTTTTATTTATAAACCCTTTTTGTTGTAGAAAAGCGTCGTTAAAAAATGGAAGCCTGAATTATAGCAGGAACCCACTTGGATTTTTCTCAAAACTTTATTCTCGTTTCTGACTCCAATTAGTTTCACAGCGACATTGAAGACAGCCTATGGCCTTGGCTCATACCAGGAAAACCCAACAATCCCTCTCAGGTGCCCAGCTGTCCTAAGCTGATCTGACAGACTGCAAAACAAAACTTCTACCCATATCATAATGATTCAACCTTATAACCTCTTCAGGTTCCACTCCTGAAGGTGTTACCTTTTACACCACACATCAGAACGTAACTAACTTTGGTTTATTTGGCAGAGAGAACACATCAATAAGACACACACCAACTCTCCTCCTCTGTTTTAAACCTTATAGCTGCAATGATCAGAAAGTATAAAACACAAAACTGGATCTAACATTCAGTTGATATGTTACAAAATATCATTCAGTATCATTAATTTTAACCAATTAAGGTTTGCTTCAATCCTCAACCCACTGATGACTCAAAGATTGTGGCTGTAAAATAAATGTATTCATGTAGCCTTTACTGCATTTTCCCTTTTTTGTGGGATTTACCATTCATTATGTGGGATTAACAGTTATACACAAGCACATAGAGAGATTGTTAGTGTTTTTAACATTCCTTATTTCAAAGCACAGAAAATATGTAGCGTTCATGAAGACTCCAGTTCTATAGTTAGTATTACTAGAATCATTCAAATTAAAAACACAAAGAAAAGTTAAATGATGTCAAACGTTGCACAGATTCAGGTATCAGCTGACATTGAGTTTCTGTTGCTGAAGTTGTTTTAGTCAACGTGAAGAAATTTTGTAACTGATTAATTGAATATTAGATTCAGTTTTGTATTTTATACTTTCTGATCATTTCAGTCGGTAAGGTTGAAGCTGACAAAGAGTTGGTGTGTGTGTGTTATCATGTGTTCTTTCTCTTAGCCTAAACAAAACTGAGTGACGTTCTGACGTCTGACGTAAAAGGTAACACCTCCGGGGTGTAACCAGGAAGAAAGATACATTATAAGCTGAATTCATTATTATAGTAAAAGAAGTTGTCTGTGTTTTGCAGAGTGTCTGCTCAGAGCAGAGCTCCCGTGTTTGCTTTGATTCAGCCCAAGGTTGTACGCTGAGGCCTGTGCTGCTGAACCTGATTGGAGTCAGAAGATTGAAAATAAAGTTTTAAAGAAGAAGTCCAATTGAATCCTGTTTATTCAGACATACCATTTTGAAT